CGCCTGGAATGAAGTCTTGCCCAGTCTCTCTACATAACTAATGACTTCTCACCCTTTAAGTCTCAGCTCCAATGTCATCCCCACAGTAAGCCTTCCCTCTCTAAAATAGGACAGCCTCTCCATCACTCTCTCTTCACATCTCGCTTGTTTCCTTTATAGCACATCCACATAGCTTTACAGGAATTTGAGGTTTTTTGTGTCAGGTCCACCAGACTATAAGCTCCAATGAGAAAAGGAATGACTATATATTATTCACCATTATAATTCCCAGTGTCTAACACAATTCCAGGCATTTAAGTACCTGATAAATGGTAATTCATATTTTTATTTTCCTACTATACCATGTCCTCACACATACTGCTCCTTCTATTGAGTCAACCACCACTGCCACTATCACAGCCATCACCACCACTGCCATCACCACCACTGCCACCGGCCACCACCATGGCCTCTATTCCCTCTGCCACCACACTTCCCCCTTTCATACCCTTGCTCATCTCTCCTGTCTCAACTAAAACATTATCTTCTTGATGAAATCTTCCTTCCTTGAGCCTCCTTGGAGGACAGTCTCTCCTCCACTTATTCATCTAGTCATCACTGGCTGCATCTCCACCATAACAACAGATCTTACTGTATTATGGGGGGGAAGGGGAGGGTGCCTGGAGGGACATTATTTTGTTTTACATTTCTGTCTTACTACTTTGGAAAGCCTTAAAGCAAAGAAGACTCTTTTCTATGTCCTATTTCTTAGCACATGACTGGGCACATAATATAGTACTAGTACCAACAATGATAATAACAGCTAACATTTATTGAGTGCTTAATATGTGCTTGACACTCCTCTTGGTTCTACAGTGAATGAGTAAATAAATGGATAAATTTCATCGTCACCAACCTCAAAGACATCACGGTCTGACAGGGACAGAAGACATGTCTACAAGCCACTGCAGAACCACCACCACAAAGCCCCATCAGCTGCCCTGCCCTGTCCCCATGCCTTCAAATCTTTGAGTATGCTTTCCTGGGACCATAAATGTCAGGTTTCTTCAAACTCACTTAGAATGCTTCCTTCGATTACTTACAATCCACTTCCTGCCGTTGGTGCCTGGAAACAATTTCTAGGATGTCACCACAAGCAATATTAAACTGCCACACAGTTTCCTGCTGTGTCTGCATTATCAGTTAAATTGCTTCATATTAACCACATTCCAGTCCACAGGGAACACTCAAATACTAAATAAGATTTAAACATCCCTGTCAAAGATGCCAGTTGCCACTGCTCCTTTTATCCCCCTAGATAAATATCTGCTCAGGTTTAAGGTTGAGGAGCTTTCCAGGGTACTTACTGCCTGCATACTGGTGACCTTCTCTTTCCTCTGGCAAGATGATGTTTGGTTTGAGGCAAGACAATGTTCCTCTATTACAATGAACATGAACTGCACACACTTTAGAAAATATAAGGAACTATCTGCCTAGACCAGGACAATTTGGCCTGAAAACTTATAAAACATAAAAACTCTTTTTCCTCAAGAGTTCAAGTGGCAAATTGTCCTTTCAACTCTATGTACATTCAACTCAGAGCCTTAGGTTAGATCTTCATTTAGAGCCTAAGGTATTTCTTAAACGCATTCCATAAACTCTTCCTAAACAGCCTTATGTGTCAAGTACTGGGTTTGACATAGGGAACTCAAAGGCAAACAAGACAGTCCCTACTCTCAAAATGTTTACGTCAGGCTTAGTATGGGAGACAGACAATGAACTGGATTTAGTGCTATGACAGTGATAAGCACAAAGGGCCATACAAACAGGTGAGGGGCACCTGGCCTAAGCTGGGGGAGAGGGATACAAAGATGACGGGCACCTGGCTTAGGCTGGGGAGGGGGCGCACAGATGAGGGGCACCTGGCCTAGGCTGGGGGATGGGGGTACAAAGATGACGGGCACCTGACCTAGGCTGGGGAGGGGGTGCACAGATGAGGGGCACCTGGCCTAGGCTGGCGGTAGATACAAAGATGAGGGGCACCTGGCCTTGTCAGGGGTGGGGAGGTACAAAGATGAGGCGCACCTGGCCTACGCTGGGGGCAGGGGCAACTGGCATCAGAGCTGGCTTCCTGGAAATGGCATCTGATCTGAGGTCTATAAACTCCCATTCTCTCATTTTTTAAATGTGGTTAATAGTATCTCCATCCTTGGGCAGTCATGAGGATTTGATGAAATGGTTCACGTAAAGCATCGCCACCGTGCCGGACACAGAGACTATGCCAACCAGCCTTAGCTTGAAAGGGAAGTCTGATCAGGCACTAGACCTCAACACCTGTGCCCAGCAACTCAGGGGCTTTACTACTGATCACACAGCAGACACCAGCTTCACGATGACACAGTGTTGCTTTTAATCAGTTTTATTTTTTAATGAGAATGTTAAGTTCTGCTCTGCATGTTAACAGTCTAATTGCTTGATCATCACAACTTTCTTCTCCATTACTGAAACATGGTTCTCTGACATTTCTGGTATAAAATATACCAGTTTCCTTAGTCTTCTGATAGAGATGGTATAAAAGAAAACTAACAATTGCTGAGTTTTTAATATGGGCCCTACAGTCATGATGATACTGTGTTTACTGCTGATAATGAGCCTGCAACAATAGTCTTCCCCATTTTACCCTCAGGGTGAATAAGGTACTTTTTGTACAAAGTTTCACAGACAATAGACAAAAGAGCTGGAATTTGAACCCAGATCTAATTCCACATCTCAGCCACACAGCATCAAAGGTAAGCAAAAGAAAACACAGGCAGCCACAGTGCTCTCCTGCTTGGAGGGATCCCAGCGTGCTCTCTGCCCCCTACTCCCCCACCACCAAGACTGTCCTACACAACTGAGCCTACACACTGAGATTTCACCTCAGCCAGGTGATCACCTTGAGGTAAGTCTGTTCTTTGCTGTCAAGATGGAACAGTCAACAGTAACCAAAGCTCTGTTTCCTCCAATAACTAGGGCTGCACCTATGGGGATGGTTTCCTCGCCGCCCCACTCCTAACCTCAGAAGTTGCGTAGTCAGCAGTCACCATAAATCACAAGTACTTTTCATAACTTCTCACCTTCTCTTTCAGTCTCACAAGTAAAGCTAACATATTTTCCAAGCCTAAGTTTTTTTCAGGGTAGTCCAGTTTCAAGATCAAGAAGGCTGTTCTTCATACTAATTCCACGCTTGATACAATTTCATGCATTAGTGAGTTTTCTTGCCCAGGTGCTCAGATAGTACTATGATGGGTTCCATAAAACACACTCAAGAAATATATTTGTCAACCTGCAATCTTCACAAGCAAGCCAGAGACCTGATGCCTAGTCATGGAACTCCTACTTGTTAGGTTTCCATGCTGGTTCTGACACTGACTGCCTCATATTGGGCAAGCTGCTGAACTTCTCTGTAACAAGAAGAGTAAGCATCCTCACAAGCATACTCTGCGACTCTAAGGTGGCTTTTGGAAAGTGTTTCTAAGTGCTATTGAAACCCAAGTTTACAACTCTTGGAAGCAGGAGCTACACTTGGAGTGCCTCTTTAATCCCAGTGCTTCACAAACTGCGTCTTTTTACCTCCCGAGCCTCTTAAGCTCTTATTTGGAGCACGCTTCTAACGTTTTCCCCTCATTTCCACAAAAATCAAAAACTAACAGTGTGCTCATCCAACTCTTCCATTTTCATTATCATAAACAAACTCTTATGCTTCATTTAGCAGAGGCCACAGAGCTGCCGCAGCCCAATATGAGACACAATTTGTGACTCAAAGCCGAAGCCAGTCAGGGGACCACAAGGCTGAGCCAAGGTCACACACTGCATGGGCAACAACTGGACAAGGATGCAACATTTGAATAATTATGATATTTCGCCCCTAAGGCCCTTCCCCTTTCAAACTTCCCTAGCATGATTCTTAAAATGCTGAAATAAACATTCCACAGACCTTCTTGTAAGCAAGTTTCAAGTGTCCTCCGAAAGCTGTTCTAAGGAAAAGCCTAAGCTGTCAACTTTGTTTGTAAATGCCCTTAAACAATTCTATTACTCATAGAGAAAAAGTGAACATTTGTTAGTCATTAGAGATAAGGCATCTCATGTTCTGGAGCTGAGGAAGGGAGAGGCAAAAAGAGGACCTAGGTCGGCTGGGAGGGGAGATAGAGTCCAAAACAACACGCCCAAATTGGACTGCGTAAAAGTTGCACTTTCCAAAGCCAACTTGTAAATCCAGAAGGAGGGCAACAATGTTTCAATGGGTTCTGAAGTCAGATGTTTCAACAATTTCCCAGGAAAACTAATCCCCATCAGGGACTCCAGGTGAATGAATGAGAGAATTTGCCATATTGGGTTACAAAGGCTTTCCAACAATGATCAAGATCAGGTGCTCAGTTACAGCACAGAGGTATCTTCCTTCACAGCCTCTGGCCCTTGCTGTGTGGAGACGTTCACAGATAAGAGAGGGAACTAGGGGAGAGAAAAAGGCCTTCACCCCAGGTCATCCAGACCTTAAATCCATGAGGGGCCCCTCCCTCTGACAACCTCACGCGACTTTCGTGGGGCCGACAGGCCTTCAGCAGCCTGGCTGCAGCCTCTGAAGACCTGCCCAACTCTCAGGGGCGCCCCAATCACACCCATGTGGGGAGTTGCTTCCGGAGATTTGTCGCCCTCCCCCAACAGTTGTAGGACCGTTTTTCAGAGGCTCTCCATTACCACGGGGGGAATGAGGCCACCTAGTAATTAATCTCAGCCGCTCCCGCCTTCAGGTGAGATGGGGACACCTGACCACCCGCGCGCCCTTCCACCCCACGCGCACCCCGCCCCCGCGCCTCCCCTGGATCGCCATGGCAACCGTCCCCCTCCCCGCGTGACGCCGGCACGCGGGGCGCCCCTGGGGTCCCTGCAACAAGTACCCCGCGCGGCCCACGGCCTGCAGCCCTTGCCCGGCCTCGCCGCCCCGCGCCCGGCCCGGCTCCGCCCGGCCTGGCCGCACTCACTTGATCCTGGAGCCCATGGTCCACGGGCCTCCTCATGGGCCCGCGGGCCCCGCTCGGCGCTGCGCTGCCCGCCCGCCCGCGGCCGACCGGCCTCCCTGTGGCGCTCTCCCCGCCCCTTCCTCCCTTCCCTCAGGCTGGGCCCGCCCGCTTGAGGCTCGCTCCCTCGCCGCCAACGCCGCCGCCGCCGCCGCCGCCGCCTCCTCCCGGGGTTAATGTACTCGCTCCAGGCCGGCGAACGCCATGGTCGCCGGCGCGCGTGCCCGGCGCGCGCCGCCCCCTCCGCCTCTCACCCCGCCGCCCCCTCCCTCCCGCGCCGCCGCCGCCCGCACGGCCTGCCGGGAAATGTAGTCCGCTCGCGCGAGGCGGGGACCGCGCTTCCGCCCACTGACTCCCCAAGGGGGGGTGCATCGTGCTTCCCAGGGGCAGGCCCCTGAAGACCTCCATCCCACTGTTTTCTTACAGAAAGCTCCACCTACTACCCCCCTGAAAGAGCCTCATCCCTCTGAGACCCTCCTCCGAGCTCTAAAGACACTGTCACTCCTCTCACCCCTATGGAGTTCTCCCACCCAGTGGCTCTGGCTTAGAGATATGTCTCCCACTCAGACTCCATATAAAAACACGTTTCCCCTTAGAAAACTCCATACCTTCCAGTAAGTTCCTTAAGGGAGTCACAGACCCTCTTCTCTATTACACCATCCACTTGCCCAACGTGGTCCTTGGTGGAGGCCCCCTCCTCTCCCGTTCGACCTTTAAGGAGACCTCACATACCCAGAGGAAAGCCACCTGGAGGCTTCATAGGAACCTTTTAGTGGTTCTGCAATGCCCTACCCTTGAGGACCTCTGCCGGCCTTTATCAGCAGTTTTGGGGCCTCTAATACAGAAAGCCCACGTCACCATACAGCTCCTGATAGAGATTAACTCACCGCAATTGAAAGTATTTGAGAGCAAAGATTCACCAACCTGCTACCCACCCCTGCTACCACTTGGAGCTCACTTTCACGAGCACCCAATATTATCTCCTCTAGGCCTGGAGAAATCACAAAGGAAGCAATAGTGACGGATATCATCAAGTACTGCTCAGTGAGTGGGCGAGTGAGTGTTCTCCCTGAACCAGGCAGTATATTTCCCCTACATAGTTAACACGGAGCCTCACAATCTTGTGAGTTTAACCCCCCATTTCACAAAAAGGAAACCGAGGCATTTGCTCCAGTTTCATAACTAGCACCGGGTGAATGGAGATTAGCATCCAGGCTGAATAATTCCAGACACATGTTACATGGTTATGTTTTCAGGTGGCACCTTTGGCCATAAGTCACAAGACACTGCAGGTTCATGATTCACTTTTGAAATAGGCTTTTCTTTTCTTCCTTCTCTCCCCGCCCTCCCCACCACCACCTCCACCCTCTCCCCCTCTCTCTTAACAATTTTCTGTCCTGAAATGACCTTCATCTCTTCTGCCATTTTAGCTCTTGTAAATTCAATGTCCTCCCACCCCACAGCCACTACAGTAACGAGTCCTAGGCCCCAGCCAGGCAGGGAGCAAAGAAAGCAAGAACCCCTTTTTGGGGAGTTACATTCTGGATAAAGAAAATGTCTCTCCTTTGCCTATGCCCTGAGGTTGTTTGAAGGCAAAAGGTGAACTTTTTTGAATTAAAACAAAAAAATAAAAAAATTGAAAACGTCCAAACTGCCATTTGGAATTCAAAGTCTTTTGCACCCAGACACCAACACCGACTTATAAATACCCCCAGGAGCTAAGCTCTGCCAGACAGGCAGGGCCTCTGTGGTGTTTATTCACCTTGTTTCCTATGAACCCTCTCCAAGGAACAGTTGTTATCAAGATCTTCCCTGGAATGAGCAGCCAGTTCAAAAGCTCTGAGCAGGAGTCTATAAATACAACAAAGTTATTTGGTGGAGGGCAAAGCTGTCTGCTTTTCAAAGGAGGTTGTAGCCATCTTGGCCACAAAAATGTCTGAGTGCCTGCTGGGTGGCGTGTGTGTGTGTGTGTGTGTGTGTGTGTGTGTGTGTGTGTGTGTTTGTGTGTTTGGACCAGAAGATCGCAGGTGGGATAGAGAGTTCTGTATCTGTCCAGGTGGCCTCTGAAACTGCAGGGTGGTCTGTGGAAAGAGCATTGAACTGGGAGTTAGGAGTCTAGCTTGTAATGCCAGCTGCACCACCGACTGGCAGAGAGATTTTAAACAAATAATTAGACAATTGTCTGCTTCGGTTTCCTCCTTGGTAAAATGGGTATAGAGAATGAAATGAGGAGGAGCTCACATCGTAAGAGAAAGTATAATATAGGAGCTGAGTATAGGCTCTGCAGCCAGACTGCCTGGGTTCAAATATCAGCCCTACTTCTTACTAAATATGTGTCCTTGGGTAAGTTATCCACTCTCTCTATGCCTCAGGTTCTGTCTGTAAAATGGAAATTATGGTACTAGGTCTATCTTACTGAATTGACATGAGAATTAAATGAGTTAATGACACTTATAAAGTACTTAAACAGTGACTGGCATACAGTAAGCGCTCAAAAATTATCAGCAACTGTTATACACAAGACACTTCACAGAGTTTGGCTTTTATTCTTAAAAGTACTGATCTTTATAATAAATAGTCCTATGTACTTGGATTCAAGAGACCTGAGTTCCCAACCCAGAATATAATTGTTTCCATTGTGAATCAGTTATAATTCAGTTCAATTGTAAATAATAGAAGACTGAAATAAAAGTGGTTAAAAAAAATAGAAGTTTATTTCTCTTTCACATAAGGTGTGGAGATGAACATTCCAGCATTGGTATGACGATTCCATAATTCATACTCTAAGTTTTGAAGGCATGGGAATAGAATAGGGCAGCTCATTTGGCCTCATGATGGTGTTTATTCTGCAGTAGCTTGTATCCCCTGGCTTCTGACCCTGTCAGGCCATGACCTCTTTCAAGTTGGTGACCCAGAATTTTATCTTATTGCTCCCTCTTCTCCAAACGCTGCTTCCACCTCATGATCCAGGATGGCTGCTTGAACTCGAGCCATCTAATCTGCAACCTAGCCAGCAGCAGGAAGGAAGCAAATCGTGCCCCACCCCAACCCCTAATCATTGTACTTCCCTGGAGTTGCTCCCACCACTTCCACTTTCATTCCATTGGCCAGAATTTAGTTACACAACCACATCTCACCAGGAAATACAGACCTTATTTCAGACAACCACATACGCAGCTGACGGGGATGGGAGTCATTTCCAGAGAATATGGGGAGGACTGCAAGATACTGCAAGACAGCTCGCAGTCAGCCGAACCATCCTTGGCTATCTGACCTTGTGCAAGCTACTGTATTTGGGCCTCAGTTTCCCTATATTCAAAGTAAGAGATCCAGGCCAGATGAGCTTTCTCCAGTCCTTTTCAGGTCAAAAATTCTATAATTCAGTGGTTTATTGTTTTATAGTTCCTTTCAACTTAGGTGAATCTGATATTATTCAAGTAAAAGGAGATCTGTCTGCCAAGTACATGACGTCATCAGTTGTTGGAATTGATATCTTCCGGAGATGAGAAGGGGTTAGGATCTTTGCCTTCTCGAGACTGTTGTCAAAATAGTCTAATTAAACAAACCCAGCAGATAAAAAGCCCAACCATGTGTGTGATACCACCTGCACAGACACCTCAGTGCTCTTCAGGTTCCAAGCTTGCCCTCACTCCCTTGTACCTGTTTGGTCTTTCTACTTAGGATTTAGGGGGCTGTGTCTATGGAGGGGAGGACAGCAACCTCAAAGGAGCTCTGATACCCCAGTAATGATACAGCATGCAATGGTGGAACCAATGAGCCAGTGGTCTGCTGTTCCTAGTACACTCAGTTGTAATTATATATATATTTTTAAGATTTTTATTGGAGAATTCGGGGATGGGAACAGTTCTGGGGAATTGGGCGAAGGGGAACAGACAAGTTGCTGTCTTTTTGTTCTTCAGTCTAGTTGTGGAGGACGTTACTTCACTGGACCAAGTTGGCACCATCATTGCGCTCTTCCCGGGCGAGGCACATCAGTCGCCGGCTTCTGGAAACCGCTCACGGCGGCTGCTGGCCGCTCACGCTGGCTGCTGGCTACACATGGTAGCCCATGGCAACCCACTGCAGCGGGGGCTGCAGCCTACGC